TAGCTGATGTTTTAAATATTTTAAATGTTAGCTTTAAACTAAACTATTGTATTTGTTTCCTTTGTAAGCTCACCCTGAGCCTTGCTTGAAGGGAAGGGTGGCCTAATAAATCTAATTTAATAAATAAATAATGCCCTGCCTTTTCTCTGAGAAGATCACTAGGATGGGGGTGGGGTCTCTTGGCAGTGGAGAGGCCTCCTTGTTAGCACAGGCATGTTCAGAGAGTTTAGGTCCTCCTCATCCTGTCACATGACTTCCTGCCGCAAGCTTCAGCTCAGTGGTGTCATACTGCCACCTGGAGATAATGGTGGGCTCCTGGTCTGGAACCAATGAAGACCAAGACCCAGCTCTGGGTTGAGAAATTCTTGGAGATTTGGGGGTGGAGCCTAGGCAAGGTGGAGGCTGAGGGCCCCAGCAGAGGTGATGCCATAGAGTCCACCTTCCAGTGTTGCAATTTCCACGAGGAGAACTGATCTCTATAGTCTCTGGGAGGATTTCAGTATCCACCTGGAGGTTGACCACAGATGAGGAGGCTTATGGGAGATGCCATCAAGTAGTCACAGGCCCAAATTTTACAGCATCCAATTCACAAGCAGCACTAAACAGGGAAAGCTACATGAGAGAAACTGGAGGCTAGAAAGGGGCCGGGATAGTCTCCAACCAGGCGAGGAGACACCACTACACTCAGAAGAACAAGAGTGCAGTACTAAGAAACTTCCCCTCCTTCTGAAATGCCAGGGAGACTATCTGTTTGGAGCTCCTCTTCCATAGCAGTGGTCCCGGCCCTGTGGTTAGAGATTACAAGGTACAATCCTTCTACAGGGAAGGTGTATACGCAGCCGCCTCCCTCATCTGTCAGCTAGTCTGTGTGCCTGAAGGCCAAACTCAATGTGACTTCTGCCATGAGTTGGCTTGGCGTTCCATGACTTGACTCCCAAAACAGTTAGGGTTGCCAACCTCCAGGTGGAACCTGGAAATTTCCTGGAAGTACAGCTGATATCCAGACCACAGTGGTCAGTTCCCCTGGAGCAAATGGCTGCTTTGGAGGGTGGAGTCTATGGCATTATACCTCACTGAGGCCCCTCCCCTCCCCAAACCTCACCTTCCCCAGGCTCCACCCCTAAATCCCCAAGAATTCCCTAGCGCAGAGCCGACAACCCTACGAGACAGATCTTAGACTGGGGAAACGAATGCTTCCAAGTGCTCATGGGCCCAATTCAGTGCTTGCACAGGGGAGTAAGGGATTCTGCCTTTTCCCCTGGGCATCTTTTCTGAGCCGCCAGGTAAGGCTATTTCTCCCACTGGAGGGCTCCACATGCTAAAGTCAATGGAATGATGAGCCCTACGTTATGGTAAATATGGCATTTCTGTGGCCATTTTGGCTCAGGAAAAGGGCGTGGGGAGGGAAGGCTGAAACCCCTGCCCCCCTGTTCCTCATGCAGATTGGGACCTTTGACCAGTTTCCTGGTCAAGGCAAATGACATATTGCGGAACTGCACTCAGAAGTGCCACAGGTGTTGTGTCAAAGAGCCACATGCGGCTCACAAGCCACAAGAGCACCAGTGCCATATGCCTTGTGAGGAGGAAGTCTCAGGTTAATCTTCCTGCACTGCCAGATAACAAGATCTCAAGTCTCCAAAAGCTTTCACTCAAAAGCCTTGGGAGTGACCGCTGGTCAGCGCAGACAGTCATCATGGTCTAGGGGAACCAAAGATATGCCTCATGATATGGCTCTTTCATCTGGCTTTTGTGTTTGGATTCTGTCTCTGAAACCAGTAGGGTGGCTCGAAACCTCCGACGACTTTGGGAATAACTAAATTCAGCCAATGCATCGAATTGTCCTGCAGCTAGAGACAATTGGGAAAGGACTATGCTGATGGCAGTCGCTTGTCCCCCACCCCAAAAAACCTAAGCAAAAACCCCTAACCTTATGTGGCTTCCACTGACTCTTGGATCTAACTTTTCTCATGGGAAGCATTCAAAAGTGGAATCCTGCACCCACAATCTGAAACGATATGGCCCACTCTGACCATCCCGGGATTTTAACCACCTCGTTTCACTGCATGGGTAGACCAAGCTTCAACATAATGATGTCTTCAGTGACTGTATACTGCTGCATTACTCAAATAATGCAATATTACTCCATGGATTAGGAGTAAAGGAGGACAAGTATCCCCTCTGTGCTTTGTGAAATACACTGGCTGCCTATTGAGTACTGGATCCATTTCAAGGTACTGGTGCTTACCTTCAAAGCGCTATGTGGCCAGGGGCCTGCATATCTTCAAGACCACCTCTCCCCTTATGAGCCCCGCAGGACATTACGATCTACAAACCAGCATCTCCTGGAGTTCGCCAGCCCTAGGGACGTTCGTCTTGCCTCAACTAGGGCCAGGGATTTCTCAGCCCTAGCCCCTACCTGGTGGAATGACCTCCCATATGAGATCATGGCCCTCCGGGACCTTTTACAGTTCCACAGGAACTGCAAGATGGAGCTCTTCCACCAGGCTTTTAGCTGAGACAAGTATCCCCTCTGTGCTTTGTGAAATACACTGGCTGCCTATTGAGTACTGGATCCATTTCAAGGTACTGGTGCTTACCTTCAAAGCGCTATGTGGCCAGGGGCCTGCATATCTTCAAGACCACCTCTCCCCTTATGAGCCCCGCAGGACATTACGATCTACAAACCAGCATCTCCTGGAGTTCGCCAGCCCTAGGGACGTTCGTCTTGCCTCAACTAGGGCCAGGGATTTCTCAGCCCTAGCCCCTACCTGGTGGAATGACCTCCCATATGAGATCATGGCCCTCCGGGACCTTTTACAGTTCCACAGGATCTGCAAGATGGAGCTCTTCCACCAGGCTTTTAGCTGAGGTGGTAGGCATCCACACCTTCTTGGGCCTCCCCTCCAGTGACCCAGATCTGAGTAACCATCTGGAACCCCAACTTGTGGTAGACCACATTGGTTGAGGCTCTGGTTAGGAGTATCGGAAATTACAATTAGCAGGGCTTTTTTTGTAGAAAAAGCGCAGCAGGAACTCATTAGCATAATAGGTCACACCCAACAGTAGAAACTCATTAGCATATTGGGCCACACCCCTGACAACACAGCTCATTAGCATATTAGGCGACACCCCCATGCCTTCCCTTGGCTTGCCTGGGTGCCCTACAACTGTGGGCAGCCCAGGCAAGCTCCCGCTTTAAGGGAAGGGAAGGCAGTTTAAACTGCCTTCCCTTGGCTTGCCTGGGCACCTGCAGGGGGGGGTTACCTGCTGGTTTTGATAGGCCGTGACCGTGGTGAAGACGGTCTCAGGAAAGTTGAAGGTTTTCACCCCATCGCCGGCGGGGACTGGCTTTGTAGGGGAGAGGTCGCTGCTGAAGTCTTTGCGGATCACGTGGATGCGCGGTTGGTACTTGTGCATCGAGTGCAGGATTATCTTTGGAAACAAACAAAAATGAAACAAAGGAAGGGGAGGATTATTTCAATTGCAACTCATTTCAGCAGCTTTATAGATGAGATTTATGAGTGGGCACTGAACACCCCTAAACCTAACCCCTAACTTTATAATCTTGATATTGAGTCATTGATGGCCTCCACCATTTCAGTTGTCTTCCCAGTGCAAAGCCTACTTCTAGAAAAAGAAGGCAGACCTAAGACACAATGAAGGCAGACCTAAGGGGGTTATGCTTGGAGGAGGTGGGAGGGCTGCCCCGGTATCATGTCGCAGGTGAAGAAGAAGAAAAAGAGATTGGATTTATACTCTGCCCTTCACTTTGAGTCTCAGAAGAGTTTACAATCTCCTTCCCTTCCCCCCCCCACAACAGATACCCTGTGCGGTAGGTGGGGCAAAGAGAGTTCTTTCAAGAAGTGCTCTTGAAAGAACAGCTCTGAGAGAACTTGTGAATGACCCAAGATCACCCCAGCAGCTGCATGTGGGGGAGTGGGGAATCAAACCCGGTTCTCCCAGATTAGAGTCCGCGCTCTTAACCACTGCACCAAACTGGTGCTTGAAGCAAGAGAGCTTTCAGGAGGAAGATCACAATTTATAGCAATGGTTCTCATAGTGTGGATTAGGACCCAACACAGGGTCACAATTCTCTTGCAGTTAGGTTGTGAGGCCAGGAGAGAAGAAGAGGGGAACGGGAGGCTTGAGGCCAAATTTAGATTTCCTCTGCATAAAATGTGAGATGGGCATAATGCAGTTTGTCACTCAGTAAGGCTTATATATGCTAAACCTGAACATAAGGTACAAACTTATTCCATGGGAACTGATGTGAGAGCCTTGTGCTTTATGTGAAATTTGAGTATTTTATGTTGGGGTGGGGGAAAGTAGTGTGGAGTTATATGGCATGTGAGTTCTGAAAAGCAGAACAGGCTCAGAAACAGGTCCCCAAAAGCTTGAGAACTGCTGGCTTCCAGTGCCAAGAGAAAGGCTGGCACTTGGTAGCAGCAGGGTATCCCATCGTCAGGGGGAAAGCGGGAAGTGACATCATGTCTCTCTAGGAATCACCAAATAATCTGTGGTGAATCCATAGAATTTTCAGCAGTCCCTAGAGAGGACTAACATCACTTCCTGGAAAGGATGTCACACCATCGCCGACAGCAGTTCCCCTTGTACCCCTGTTCAGTCTCCTGATGATTGCTGGGCTGAAAATGGCAACCCTAGTTAAGGGTACAGCATGCAAACAAAGGGCTTGTCTTGAAACAAAATGCACTTTTCCTGACTTACGTGGCCTTGGTCATCCAGCTCATTGTTGGTCAGCTTGAGCTTATCGAAACTGACAACCTGCCTCATCCAGGTATCTCCAGAGGCCAACGAGTCGGGGTGGATGTAAACCCTGGGAGGTACAGGGGAGTCCGCATTGCCTGCAACCATCCACTTGGAACTGTGGTAAACATACCTGAGAGGGACAAAGAAAAAGGGAAACTTCATTACTTATGGGGGGGGGGGAACCACCTGTAGCTTCTTTCTCCTTCAGAGCTTTTCTTCTGCACTCACCAAAGAGCACTGGGGCTCTGGGATTATATGCACAGGAAGGAAACTGTGTGCTTCATCTTAAATGGAAACCAGATGATACCTGGAACTACTTCCTTATTTTTGCATCTCTCTATTAATCCTCTTTTCCAATTACTGCCTCGAGAAAACTTTGCACACAGGGCACACTAATTGGTTAACCCCCCTAATCCACAGATGAAAGCTTTTAGATCTACCAGGGAATAGTTCATTGCTTGCAGATGCCTCTTCTAACTTGTGCCGCACCTGCAAAGGCCTTTCGCTTCCCCGTCTGAGCCACGGCAGTCCGTGTTCCCATCTCTAAAAATCCTTCATGTTCATCCTCCATGTTTGCTACTACGGTCATCGGCCACTGTGTTTGTGATGGCCGCTAAACTCATTGAGGGCCATAAGCTGAGCCCCCCTGCGTTGCAACATGCCCGGATGACCATGTGAACCTAGACTGTGGCAACAGCTACCATTTGCACATTCGTGAAACTGGAGAAAGACGAGTGGGAGGGAGCAGTGCTGGGGAAATGAGGGGTGCAGGAACCTTTTCATGCACTCCCTTTCCCCACTGTGTTCATTTGGGGGGGGAGGGAGAGAAGCTGGCTTCCCAACTGCATCAAGAGAGAGAGATCCCATCTCTAAAAATCCTTCATGTTCATCCTCCATGTTTGCTACTACGGTCATCGGCCACTGTGTTTGTGATGGCCGCTAAACTCATTGAGGGCCATAAACTGAGCCCCCCTGCATTGCAACATGCCCAGATGACCATGTGAACCTAGACTATGGCAACAGCTACCATTTGCACATTAGTGAAACTGGAGAAAGAAGAGTGGGAGGGAGCAGTGCTGGGGAAATGAGGGGTGCAGGAACCTTTTCATGCACTCCCTTCCCCACTGTGTTCATTTGGGGAGGGAGAGAAGCTGGCTTCCCAACTGCATCAAGAGAGAGAGACAGAGAGAGTTGTTCTAAACCAAAACTCAATTTATTCTATTACACACGCTTAAGTCAGAAAACACTTTTGTAGCATTTCAGTATTCAACACAGAATATTCCAACACAACAGATAGGACCCAAAACAACGGGTTTAAATTACATGCAGAAAGGCATCGGCTGGATATTAGGAAACACTTTTTTCATGGTCAGAGTGGTTCAAAGGTGGAATCAGCTGCCTAGACGTGTGGTTGGCTCGCCTTCACTGACAGTTTTCAAGAAGAGGCCGGACGAATATTTGTCAGAGATGCTTTAGGCTGGTCCTGCATTGGGCAGGGGGTTGGACTAGATGGGCTATATGCCCCCTTCCAACTCTATGATTCTATGATTCTATAACCCCAATACATAAATAGTGCTATTTATTCTATGAAGTTCTATAAAGGATATCCTTGGTTGCTCTGTCAAGACCCACAACCAATGCTCCCCCTAAGCTTGTGAGCAGAAATTCGACTTTGCGAGCTCCTGGCATTAAAGTTGTGAGGGAGCGATTTGGCTACTACATAAATTGGTTTGCCCTGAAGCCCCATCCTTCCTGAGCGATGGCAAAAATGTGTGAGCTGGAGGCTAAAAAACTGTGAGCTAGCTCAGAGTAACTCAGCACAGAGGGAACACTGCCCACCACAGAGGGTGGTTGGCCAGAACAACCAGGAACGAAACTAAATTCAGACATGTACCCTCTTCCAACCATAGGAGCTAGTGCAACTGTCAGTCAGGTCTGTGACGAGCATTTGACATTCATCTCTGACGTGCAGGACAAAGTTCTGCCCGTTCTTTCTCTCTCTGGAGTCGGGAAGGTCAAGGAAAGTCAGAGTTAAGCTAGGTTGACTCAGAGGGTCAAGGCTGACTAAGAGAGTCCCAGGAAGCTAGGTTCAGAGACTCTTAACTATTTAGAATTTGATAGTGACTCCTGACCTCTGCAAAGTATAAACATTCTCAGAAGGCAAAAGTCATCTGAGGCAACAATCATGTACAGGGTTACCTGCAGGGCTATTTTGGGGCAGGAACGCACAGGAACGGAGTTCCGGCTGGCTCCCAAGTTGGCCACACCCAGCAGGAACTCATTAGCATAATAGGCCACACCCAACAGCAGACACTCATTAGGATTGGCTACATTAGGGGTGTGTGGCCTAACATGCAAAGGAGTTCCTGGTACAAAAAAAGGCCCTGGGTTTTGACAACAAACAAGGTGAACAGAATAAGAAGCAAAAGGTGGGTGTGGCTGGATGACCACACTTCTGCGAACATGGGGTGTGTGGCCTAATATGCTAATGAGCTGTGCTGTCAGGGGTGTGTCCTAATAAGGAAATGAATTTCTGCTGTTGGGTGTGGCCTATTATGCTAATGAGTCCCTGCTGGGCTTTTTCTACAAAAAAAGCCCTGGTTACCTGTACCCAAAGGCCACAGCACTTAGCAGAGTCCTGAAGCCTCCTGGGAAACCGAACCACAGATTCAACTATAGAGGCTAATTACTATAGCAATTAAAGCAACATAGGTTTAAAAGAGACTGAGCCTCAATCCAGGCCCTAATTCCGCGACAAGCAGCTCTAGAGCAGAGGAGCAAAACCCAGGGCTGGTTCTCCACCAGGGTGCTGAAGCACCACAGGGGCTTAACTTGGTCCCAGCCGTCAGGGGCATGGGAGTGGACTGGCATCCTCCCCTCCTGGTCTAGGGTTACCATCCAGGCTCCGCATGCCAGCAGGAACAAATATAGAGGGCAGAGCAACGTGTTGCTCTAGGAGTCCCCTGATGGAATCCTAGAGTGTTAGGATGTCATTTCCAGTTACAACCGGAAGTGACATCACAGTGATTGAATTTATACCCCGTTCTTCACTACCTGAAAGAGTCTCAAAGCGGCTTACAGTATTCTTTCCCTTCCCCTCCCCACAACAGACACCCTGTGAGGTAGGTGGGGCTAAGAGAGCTCTTTTGAGGACTCCTCGTGAGAAAACAGCTCTGAGAGAAATTGTAAATGACCCAAGGTCACTCCAGCAGCTGCACGTGGAGAAGTGGGGAATCCAACCCAGTTCTCCCAGATTAGAGTCTGTGCTCCTAACTACTACACTGCTTTTAAATAAAAGTTACTCAGTGTTTTGGCTGCATGCTACTCCTCCACCTGAGGTCGCAAGTTGTTTAGCTGCAAATTCAATACATTCTGCCATCTGTCCATCCATCCTTCCCTCCTTCTTTGTGGCCATCTATTATATTTCTTGCAGTGCAATCCTAAACAGAGTTTAAAAGGTAAAGGTAAAGGTTCCCTTGCTCGAAAGCCAGTCGAATCCGACTCTAGGGTTGCGGTGCTCATCTCCGTTTCAAAGCCGAAGAGCCAGCGCTGTCTGAAGACGTTTCCGTGGTCATGTGGCCGGCATGACTAAACCCCAAGGCGCACGGAACGCTGTTACCTTCCCACCAAAGTGGTACCTATTTATCTACTTGCAATTTCTTGCTTTCGAACTGCTAGACTGGCAGGAGCTGGAACTAGAGACGGGAGCTCCCTCCATCATGTGGCACCCGGGTCTCAAACTGCCGAACTACTGACCTTCCACAGCCTGCAGTTCAGCGTCTTAACCACTTGAGCCACCGCAGAGTTATATCCTTCTAAATCTGCTGAAGTCAACAGGTTTAGAAGGACAACACTCTCTTTAGGGCAGCACTGGTTCTCCTTTGAGAAACGCAAGCAAAATCGTTCATCCTCACACCTTTATGCCCAACTTTAGTTTCAGCAGATACAGCCCGCTTATTCCCACCTCTATTAAACTGGAATGTCTTTGGTCCTTAGGATCATGGATCACTGGTCTTCCCAACTGGCCAAGCCTGGCGGGGAATTCCCCACGTCCACCCTCAATCTGCTGCCTTCAATATAGTGAGGAGAGGGAGGAGGAAAATGGCCTTCATTGTGATACGGTAGGATCTTCCCCTAGTCTCTATGATCTTTACCACAGAGATAAGGGGAAATTCCTAAAGTATCACCCAGAAATGACGTCACATCCTTCCCAAACCCTACCCTTCCCAGGTACTGCCCCCCAAGTCTCCTGGTATCTGCCTAGGCATTGTCGGGAACCCTATGGATCACTGAAAGTCCCTTGCTCATTAACCTGGGGAGTACAGCTCCTGGTCCACTTTGCTCTGAATGAAGTCCCTGAGGAAGTTCTTCCAAAGTCCTCACCTGTATCTCTTGTTATCCACAGGCACAATGTCCATGGCAATATAATACTGCTGGTGAGGGTCCAACCCTGTAATCTTCACTCTCATCGCAGGAAACATTCTCCTACAAAATTAGAAACGGGGACAATGATTAGTTCAAGAGAGTCTTCCTTGCTAAGATGGAAACATATTAAAGTATACCAGAAGAAACTGCAATGAATTAAGAAGAGGGGGGGTATACCCCACTTGTCTCTACCTTAAGGAGTCTCAAAACGGCTTACAATCGCTTTCCCTGCCTCTCCCCACAACAGGCCCCTTTTGAGGTAGGTGAGGCTGAGCGGAGAGTTCTGAGAGAACTGAAACTGTCCCAAGGCTGCCCAGAAGGCTAAGTTCATGTGAAGAAGGAGAGTAGGTTTTTATACCCTGCTTCTCTCTATCCTAAGGAGTCTCGAAGCAGCTGACAATCGCCTTCCCTTCCTCTCCCCACAACAGGCACCCTGTGAGGTGGTGGGGCTGAGAGAGTCCTGAAAGAACTGTGACTGGCCCAAGGCCACCAAGAAGGATTCAAGTGGAGGTGGGGAGACTCAAACCCAGTTCTTCAGATTAGAGTCTGTCACTCTTAACCACGACACCCCACCGGCACACTGTAGTGCCACACTGGCATGGATCACATGAAAGCTGCCACATACTGGGTCGCGGTGTGGGCCCACCTACCTCAGAACTGCCCACTCCAAGTTGGGATGGCAACCCAGGGTCCTTGGCAGAGATCTCTCTCAGCCCTGCTGCTTGAAATCCTGATCACTGGAATTGCTGGTGATCGCACCCAGGATCTTGTGCACGCAAAGGAAGGGCTCTGCCACTATGGACTCTGCCCACCATCCACCCATTCTTAAAAGCAGGCAAAATGCTTCACAGGATGTGTGTCTCAGTCCCGTCCCCAGACACTAGACAGTGTCTGCATCTCCTAAGACGTCTGCGCTGCAATCGGTGATGTGCAAAGACGATACAGCGTCACGGAAGACGACGACTCCATTCGGTACAAAGCCCCCCGAAACAAAATGCAGGACATTTAACTCCTCCCTTGGGGCAGGGAGGAAAAAAACTCACCCCATGATGTCACAGATGGGGGTGGGGTGGGGGTCTGAAAGCCGTGCTGAGCTCTCCCAAGCCCATTTGTTCCATGTGTGATACACGGAGGGCACCCCTTTCTGGCTACATGTGGTGCCTAGCGTTTCTGTGTTCTTTGGTCTCATTCTGTCATAATATCTTGGGCTGCCTTGTCGAACACCCATTCTGATTTCTCCTCTGTCTGAAACTGGGCCGGGCGAAACCCTTGCGAAAAAGGCACAGACTCTGATAATTCCATCCCAACTGGAGGGGGGGGGGATGTGTTCCCCATTAAAACCAGTAGAAATGAAGAAAGAATTGAAGAGTCAGTGTGGTGTCACAGTGTCAAACTAGGGCCTAGGAGACCCAGGTCCGAATCCCCAGGGTCCCATAGGGGCTTGCTGTGTGATCTTGGGCCAGCCACACACTCTCCACCTAACCCACCAAACAAGGTTGTGGTGAGGATAAAATGGAGGAGGAGGAGATGATGTAAGCTGCTTCGGGTCCCCACTGGGGAGGAAGGTGTGGTATAAATGAAGTAAGGCCTACGGTTGAGGATAGCAGCGGTTCCTGACCATGGCTTCCCACTGCAGTACGTGAAATTACAGGTATGCCATCGATTTTTGAAGGATGTAAACTGTATGTTCTAGTTTGTTGATATTTGTTTTAACTATTATTAATTTCTCATTGTTTTTAACTGTTCATGTTTACTATGATGTACATCGCTCTGAGCCCTCCGGGGGAGGGCGGTTTACAAATTTTAATAATGATGATGATGATGATGATGATAATGATGATGATGATTTAATAAAGTTAAATAACAACAACAACAACAACAACAACAATAATAATACAACTAATGGAATGGAAGTTTCCCCCCAAAATGAAGTCAAAAACAAGCAGCAAACTGGTACGCCTCACTATGGCATCAGCCCATGAGAAACATATTGAAGAAATTCGATTAGGGGCCGCCCTTCTAACAGAAGCTGCGGTGGCTCAAGTGGTTAAGATGCTGAACTGGTCGGTAGTTCAGCAGTTCGAGACCCGAGTGTGCCGCATGACGGAGTGAGCGCCCGTCTCTAGTTCCAGCTCCTGCCAACCTAGCAGTTCGAAAGCAAGAAACTGCAAGTAGATAAATAGGTACCACTTCGGTGGGAAGGTAACAGCGTTCCGTGTGCCTTGGTGTTTAGTCATGCCGGCCACATGACCACGGAAATGTCTTCGGACAGCGCTGGCTCTTCGGCTTTGAAACCCTAGAGTCGGATTCGACTGGTTTTCGAGCAAGGGGACCTTGACCTTTACTTTACTTTTCTAACAACCAGGCCCTGGCCCCAATGCCAACACCAACTTAAGATACGATCAATAGCCCGACAAAACCCAGACTACAGAGGTAGTTGGTTACAAGGATGCTGCAATCCCCACCATCGGCTATGAATTATACTAGCAGTTTATGAAATGTTTTATTTTGTATTGTCCAGGGCTTTTTTTGTAGAAAAAGCCCAGAAGGAACTCATTAGCATATTAGACCACACCCAACAGCAGAAACTCATTAGCATATTAGGCCACACCCCATGCCTTCCCTTGGCTTGCCTGGGCACCCCGTAGTTGCTGGGAGCCCGGGCAAGCCGGCCCTTGGAGGGAAGGGAAGGCTAAATTGCCTTCCCTTAGCTTTCCTGGGTGCACCGCAGCTGCGGGGAGCCTGGGCAAGCCGGCCCTTGGACACACTGGGGAAGGCACGGCCCACCTCAGTTGCCGGGGGTGGTGGTGTCGCTCTACAGGCCTCTGCTTCTCTCTATCCTAAGGAGTCTCGAAGCAGCTGACAATCGCCTTCCCTTCCTCTCCCCACAACAGGCACCCTGTGAGGTGGTGGGGCTGAGAGAGTCCTGAGAGAACTGTGACTGGCCCAAGGCCACCAAGAAGGATTCAAGTGGAGGTGGGGAGACTCAAACCCAGTTCTCCAGATTAGAGTCTGCCAGTCTTAACCACTACACCCCACTGAAAGGGATAAATAAGTAATAAATAAATAAATTCTCTTTGTACTGCACAGATTCCCTACCCAGTTCATATTCAAGCCAGTCTCCTGAGCTCAGGATCCCTCAAGGAGGCTGACTCAACAGGAATACTCAAGCGCCGCTATTTAGATCATAATTCGTTTAAGATTCGAAAAATTTGCTCCCCCCCCCCCGCAGGCTCGAAATGGGATCGTATGATCTCGGCATGGCTTCACTCTGCCACAACTTTCCCCGTTGCCTCCCTTCATCCGTTCTTTTTCAACATATGTTGAAAAAAATGTGTTTGACCCTGCAGGCCGGGAGGAGGGGGAAGTTGCATGGCTTATTTCTCTAGTCTGGCAGAGGGAGCTTTGAGTTTCGAAAGCTCGTTCCACGAAAATCCTGTTAGTCTCTAAGGTGTGGCTGGACTGGAACCTTGCTCTCCAGCTGCAGCCCGACACAGCTACCCTTGGAAACATCTGTAGTGATGTCTTTCTAATGTCCCAGCCTTGCCGGTTTGCCTCCCTGCCCAACTCGCAAAGCCAAGAGCATTTGCTTGCGCTAAATGGATCACGTTTACATGTTCTCGCATTACCACCTGGGAAAGCCAGGAAGATTTGTTAAGTTCTAAGCCCCATGAATGCTGCCAATGAATGAAGGCACACCAACTGCGAAAGAACAAAGAGCACACGTATACAGAGCTGGTTTTCAGCATGCCTGGCCTGCCCAGGGAGGATAGTGAAAATAATCTGAGCAAACCAGTCAGTAAACCGCAAGCATGCATCAACTGAGCCCCCTCTCTCAGCTGCTATGCTGAATGGCACCAGTGTGCAGCGACAGAAGTGTTCGAAACGATGATGCTGGCTTTGGGAGCAGATTACCGCAGTGACTGTGTAAGGTGCTCGAATTGGCTCTGGATTGGCATCCCAATGAAGTGGAAGTGTACGACTCCTGTTTTACAGACACGGCTCCCCAGCATTGCCAGTGGGGTTTTAGGAGGATCTTTCGACTCCAAACGAGTCAAAATGTTTCCCTTATAATGGAATGTGCTGAAATGGACAAGTTGACAAATATATTAAAAGGAAAAATGGAAGAAGAATTCATGGGACCCTGGAGGGTGTTCTACGACTGGTTAAAACTTAAGAAAATAAGACCAAGTGAAGAATAATAAGAATGATAGATGTAGTTGTGAAACTGTAATGAGAAGATATGCATGCAGAATGCTAAAATAGATCTTTTAAATATTTCTGTATTTTTCTTTTCTTCCTCCTTTCCCCTTTCCCCCTTTCTGTATATAAACTAATAAACATTTTTCCAAAAAAACCACTTTCCCTTATATTCTGAAAATGAGACGTAATTCCTCGGGGTCATTGCAATGCAAATCAGTCGCGGAACATAATAATTTCACATTGCGATCATATTTTAAACATGCCCTGACCTGGATAGCCCAGGCTAGCCTGATCTTGTCAGATCTTAGAATCTAAGCAGGGTTGGTCCTGGTCAGTATTTGGATGGGAACAGGAGTCATTTTGTAGAAAAAGAGGTGCAGGAGCTCATTAGCATAACTCATTAGCATAGCTTATTTGCATATGCCACACCCCCTGACATCACCGGAAGTGTGTCAGAAGGCAACACCCACCACTCAGGCTCCACTGGACTGTTTTGGATTGCTAGCTATTGGGGGGGGGGAATGTGCAGATCTGTCCTCACAGAGGAGGGAGAGCTTGTACCTGAATAAAACTTGGTCTTAAAGGTGCCACTGGACTGTTTTGGGCCGGGGGGCCAGGGGGGGAGGCTCTGCAACTTACCTGACTGCTTCTTGCTCTGACTGAGGGCTGCTGGGAGCAGGGGGTGGGGCTTGTTGCATGTGCCCGCCCCCGTGGGCTCTTTACTGCAGGAGCTCCGTTCCTGTGCGCTCCTGCAGGGAATGACCCCTGGATGGGAGACCTTCAAGGAATACCAGGTTGGTGGCGTGGAGACAGGCAATGGTAAGCCACCTCTGAATATGTCTTGCCTTGAAAGCCCT